CACCGTGCACCTGCTGAGCCTTGGAAGGGACTGCTTTTTGCAGCGGTCTGACATGGCTTGTCCTGACTGTTCTCCTAGCCCAGGGACAACCCATCAGCCAGCTCTCCACTGCTGTGGGCAGGATCTGGCCTGGACTCCAAGCCATCAGGGTGGGATGTGAGTCATGCAAAGAAGCTGGTGTCCCAGGAATGCTGTCCAAGCAACAGGTCCCCACAGGGTATCTTTGCTCTTCCTGAGGGTCTGCAGTTGTATGTCACTGCTCCTGAGTCCCATGGCTCTTTGCCAAGGTGGGTCTCTTCACTTGGCTCCCACCACAGCATTTCCACGCTGATAGCCCTGGCAAATACATCGTGGCTCCCAGAAATACTAATAGGTATGGCACTCCAGTGCCAAATGCTCCCCCTGTGAGGCTCAGGAGATGCTCAAAGCCCTAGGACAGGGACTGAGGCTGGGAGCAGCGGAGCCCGAGCAGGCAGCACCACGGCGGGCTGCAGCAAGGACGTGCTGCTCCTGCACCCAGGCCTGCCCACCCAGCCCTCTCACTCCGCATTGCAGCAGAGGCAGCCAGGCGCTGCCCGAGGCTCTGCAGAGGAAGGCACGGCACCGCTTGCACCCGCCAGCAGGAGCAATCCCAGCACCCAAGCTCAGGACAGGTTCCTAAGGGTACCCACCATCCCAGACCATCTCCCTGGCATTCTACTTCCCCCATATGGAGGTGAGAGCAGGACGAGTGTGTGTAGTGCACCCCCGCAGAGCTTGTGGCTTCAGTTCAAGGGCTGTCCCGCTCCTTCCCCCACCTTGACTGACCCCAGGAGACAAAACTATACTGTGCCTGCAAACATCTCTACACATGCAGATAAAGAAGGAATTTATTCCAGGACTCAGACCTGGAATCCCCTATAAATAAATCACAAGGGTGACTTCCCTCTGGGATGCCCCAGAACGTGTCCTAGGAGGCTTTCAGATTAATCTCTTTCAGGTATCTGTCTTCTCCTACCTGGAGAGCTAAACATGACCAGTAGCATGGACACTTGTGCTCAGTCACTCTGGAAACCTCTGCCAGGTGGGTCTGTTCATCTGTCTAGGCTGGGTATGGGAACAAGGCACCCAGGAACCACAGGCAGCCCAGGAGTCCTGTGCCAACAATGGGAGCCTGCTGCCTAGCCCACCGCCTTCCTCAGAGAAATGCGGGAGGGCTGTGCAGGCAGCATGTCCTAGGAAGATGCCACTTGCTGTCCCTGCATACCCAGGTCACTGTCCTGGTCCCCAC